AATCAAGTAGTTCCATATTTTCATAAAATAATGCATTTTTAAACTTAGCACGAGATCGAAGCGAGCGGACCCTATGATAATGGACTAGAAGTCATTACGTCATGAATCCTCCAGGATGCATGCTCTCCCGTTGGAAGAGCCACACGTTTGAGGCTACTTAGGAAGGAATGTCGGTTTAATGCTAATATTAGGTTTAATGCTAATGTTAGGTTTAATGCTAATATTATGTTGAATGCTGATCGTCGTTTAACTGATCTTCATCTAGAGGGGCTTTTCCAGGGTGTCGTTACTTGCACTGGGGAGACTTGACTCCTGAGCAGTGGCGTAGCAAGGGGGGGGGGGGCAGAGGGGGCCATGGCCCTGGGCGGCATACGAGAAGGGGCGGCAAATTTTAATCAAAAAACTCTTACCCTAAAACGCCATTGTCTAAATGGGGAACTTGCAAGTGGAGTAAAATTTTCCAAATTTGTTTTTAAATCGATAGTTTATACTGCACAATATTTATATGACAAGTTTTTATGCAACTGATATCGCCCTTGTTGCACAAAAAATTATACTAAATGAAAAATTCTCCGCTAAAACAATGCTTCTATGATGGCTACCTTTTTTGACGTCACGATTCTGTAAACAAACCTGTCGATAGGGAATTTGTAATTGGAATAAAATTTTCAAAAGCAGTCCTTTATAATATTCCTCATCCATTGCGACAATTTTCACAAAAAACAAACTTTAACACACTCAATTAACACAAAAATAGCACTTCGTCAGCAGGAGTTCGTTTGCTGCACGTTTGTTGTTTACAAAATAATGACGTCATGAGCGCTGTCATATTGAAACCTCGCGTTTTCGTGCCAAAGTTTTTGATTCGAATTTCAATAGGTGAATTTTTTTCGTACAACGTAAATTAAAATGCAAAAAAAAGAAACTATGTAATATTTGATCACTAGAAGTAGGTATCTAAAAAAAAAAAAAATTGAGAAACTTTGACTGACTGACTTCTTTTTCTTGGCTATTATAAAATAGAGGGGGCGGCGAATTTCCGGTCGGCCCCGGGCGACGAAAGCTCACGCTACGCCACTGCTCCTGAGGGCTGTTTCCAGGGTGGCGGTACTAACACTGATTCAAGTCTGTCTGTTGCTCGGCTTGGCCCACTATTTATAGGAATTTATTGCTGAATTGCAATAATCATCCGATTGAATAGGCAGTTAAATTAATAAGGTTGAATACTGGGTCCTGCTTTGCTAAGTAGCTAGTTGACAATATCAAGAGTGCTGAAATAGGATGCATTTCCGAGATATGATAGAATATCGTCGATTTGTGGTAGAGGGTATGATGATTACATTGTTACGGCATTAACTTTTCGGTGGTCGACACAAAAACGGATTTCACCATCTTTTTTCTTTACTAGGACCACTGGACTAGCCCACGGTAAATGACAGGGCCTTATTACATTGCTGTCTAGCGTTTCTTTTCTTTGCTTTTCATTCTGGGATACTGTGTAAGGACGGTTTCTTATTGGACTTGCCTCCCCTACTTCTATTTTATGTTCTGTCAGATTTATCTTTCCCATGTGCTTTGTTGATTTTGAAAAAACATCATTGTACTCCAGTTTTTGTAGAGCCAATTTAACTTCGTTTGTGATGTTGTCCAACCTGTGGTCGTCTAGTGTTACTGCTTCTGTCTGTTGCTGTTCAATGATTTCTTCCTGGTGTTACTAGGTAATAGTCCTCTAAAAATGCTATCGTGGTTCCTGCATATAAAGCTAGTGGCTTTCTTCTGTTCGATTGTAGTTTTATAGTGAGGCTCTTTCCATCTGTATAAATGTGTGTTTTCAGTGTCAGTCGATTTTGCCGCCCAATTTAGATTAAATTTACATTTGTAGCCCACTGTCTCGTTTAGGTTGCCGGTGTTGCCAATGATTTCTAATTCTATTGTCTTTATCTCATTCTGTGTTATCGTGTAGTCCTTTTTGGCTCCTATTTTATGTGCTTTGTCTTGGGAGTCCGTGACTATTTGTATTAGAGGCTTAATTTGGCCTTCAATTTTTGACTCTATCTTCCGGAAGTCTGGTTTAACTGTCTGGATGCTGACTCCGACTCCTGTGTCTTTGAACACAAAAGACAGCTTGTGTTTGAATCTTTCCCATTTTTCTCCAGTCTCCATCCTTGTCTAGGAAATACCAGTTTTTTGAAGGATTGCTCTTTTATGCTTTCTCTCAGTGCTATCAAACATTTATACATGTTTCTTGGTGTGGGTTTTGTCTGCATTGTCTCCTTTACAAAAAGGAACACTGTTGAGTTTCTGTCGTGTTTTATTACTAGGTCTGTTTCTGCAGAAATCACAAAGCAGTCAGACCGAATTTCATTGGTTGAAAACAGTCAGAAACCTAAAATAGTTTCAACCCTTGAAATTGACTCTGATTGGTTTGTGATTTCTGCAGAAACAGACCTAATGATAATTGCCCGCCTGTGCCCCCTGCTTTCCTCCAAGGGAGCATGTGTTTGTAGGATTTGTAGACAGCTTTCTTTGTTTTGTAGTTTCCCGTTACCCCGAACACCTTGGTGGCATTGCTTTGCACCTGGTTTCCATGTCTGATTTCTTCTTTTAGGAAGCTGTTCACTTCTCCCTTTTCTATCTGTGGATGGGCTCTGAGAAATTTGTCAAATTCTTTTCCATCTTTTTCGTCCTACTTGTATTTGTTTACCGGTTGAGTTGTTATAATGAGGCTGGACAGACTGATCTTTTTCTTGTGATCTTGGTGTAGATAAATTATTCAGTATAAGCAGCTTCCGTATAGATTTATAATAGCCTTATTTTCTGTTAGAAACTCCATACCTAGGCTTATTTGTCGTAGGGATGCTGAAATAACTTTTGCTTTAACGGTACCTCTCCACACCGTGCTTCCCGAAAGGTCCATTGGTCCATCTTACAATAATTTCGGATAATTTACTTTTTTACTTGTTACTTCTCCTATGACTGGTATCCGATGACCTCCGGCGATGATTAGGACTGTATTGTTGTCTTTTCTGTTGCCAAATTTCTTTGCATGACGTTATTTTTGGCTCCAGTGCTAGGATGGCAGGGGCGCTTACTTTTGCCATCCTCTCCCGTTTGGGTGCTGTCGTAGATTCTTGCAAGTTGTTCCAAAGTAACCTGATTTTCCGCAGTTATAGCACGTTGTCCCTTTTCCATTGTTTTGGACCGAGGCTGGTCCCTTTCTCTGGACTGCCTGTTGTTTACTGTAGCAGATGGCTGCCTTATGTCCTTTTTTCCCACAATAGTAAGTAGGACGTGATTTCTTTGCTGCTTTGTTGGGGCGATCTGGTATCATACGCCTTTGCAATTGCAGTTGGAGTTTGCTTAGTTTTTTTCCTTGGGGCTTTATCTATCGTTTGTGTAATTTCTTCAACTTCTTCCATTGTCGAAGGAGGTCTATTTGGTGGATTTGTGAGCCAGTAGTAGTGAAATTATCTTCTGTTAGCCCTTCGCTAAAGATGGTCACAAATTCGTTGATATCCATGGTCTGTTTATAATCGTGGTACAGCACTCTTAGTTCGTATAGAAAATCTCGGACTGTCTCGTCAGACGTTTGTTATCTATTTTTAACTTTCTTTTTCAGAGATGTTCGGTAGTCTCAATCTTCAAATTCCTTCGTAAACTTATTATTGATTTCTTTCCACTCTTTGTCCTGATTAACTTATTCTGTAATCTTGAACCCACAGGTTAGCTGCGCCGTCTAGAAATGTCTCAAAATAGGTAATTTTGAGTGTGTCATTCCACCAGTTTTCTATGACCGTCCTTTCATGACCCCTCAAAAGTTCTGTCGCACTGCTTCTGCTTGGTTGGAATGTCGGAGGGTTTATAAATTGGGGTACCGTTGCTTTTTTCTCCGTTTGCATGGCTTCGACGATAGTTGTATTGGCCATTTTGTTCTTCTCTGTGAGGATGGGTATATCTGTTAGTTGATTCACTGTTCTCTCTTGGTTTCCTGATGCAATTCCGACTGGTGATAGATTTTCACCTTTTATTTCCGTGATTTGCTCCCAATCAAAATTTGGAGATTGTGGTAGTGATCTTGTTAGTGTCCGAGAGGGTATGGAGACTTCTTCTGTGCTTCTAAGGCTTAGCTTAAACAGTGGTTTTTTACTAGGCGTGCTCGTGCCTTTGGATCGTAGATTGTATTTATCATGTTCTTCTTCCTGAGATTCGATTTATGTTATCCTTCTCCTATATTCGTATTTGATAACCCTTATGCCTTCACTTATCGATCTACCAAATGTCACAACTTCATCTCACGGCTTGAGACCAGAGGAGCTTTTCCAAGAGAGGTAATTGCGCTGGACGACACGAAGACTGATGACACCCAGAGGAGCTTTCCCAAAAGAGGAATTGCGCTGGTTCAAGTCTGCGTATCCGTACATGTGTTGCCGACCACTATTTTTATTCGTTTATCAATTATCGCTGACTCGCCAATCAATAGTCGGTCAATCATATACAGTGGCTTTCCAAGTAGCTTGCTTGTTGACACTATGAAAACCAAAACTAGAAAAAAGTTAGCAAGGAAATCAATAGAAGCATTCGAAAAGACCTAAAGGATCATAATACTAAGCTTATCAAAAATACAGTCGGAAGCAACAAAAGTATTAAAGTTCTAACACATATCAAACAGAAGGCTAAATTTTGAAAAAAAAAAGTAACTCAATAAGAAGACTAGGGTGATGGATGTGCTATATGCTCTGATACAACTGGAGTGGCTATGGGCTGGCTAGACATAATATAGCGAGACAAAATCTACACAGGTGGCGCCGCGCCGGAGGAAAACCAAGCAGAGTATTGACATACTTCAAGGTCGATGGCGGGATGACCTCTATGGGGATGACATGCAAAATAATATTGCATGCTGAAATTGGATCTAAACTCCTGAAATGGAAGGGCTTGGATCAAAGAAGTGAATGATGCACAGGCGTGTTGGGATAATTCTCTGATTTTTTGCGTTGATCATGGCAGAAATTGGTTCCGAAAACTATTCCAAATATTCACTACTAAAACTGCAAAGTCACAAAGAATCTCATCGAAATTTCCTTCATCGTTATGATCTTGGGAATACTGGGAGTAAAACTTCAAGCACATGAACTTGATCTCCATTTTATGTTGATTTATTCGGTCTTTAAAACGCTTTGCTATGTTTGTAACGCAACGTCCTTTCAATGATCGTCAGTGCCTCTCGCCACAGTTTGCTGAAACTTATTTTCCAGATTGTGCTTTCACTAGATTTGAAATATCGGTTTGGAGTGTACACTTGTACAGTGATATTGTGTGGACTGATAAGTAATAAAAGCCAATCTAAGAAAATCAAAGGTTGATGTTTTATTGTAAAAACATTGGACAAAATCATATTTTACTTTTTCTAAAATTTAACGCATATTTTTGTTAATTTCCAGAAGAACCCAGAAGTATACCAGAATCACCTGTAGAAATAATATCTCCTTCACTAGCCATCCTTCCTTCTCCGGACTTTGTAGCCGAGCCTATGGAAGTCGATGATAGGACAGTAGCAATACCTGGCGATAAGACAATGTCTAGACAAGGTAATATTTCTAAGGCATTATTGTTTTTCAACAAAGGAAAGTGCCATTCATTTGGTTTTAGATGCAGATTCCCCAGAACAAGCCGCTTTACCTCCGCCCGTTAATTATCCGGCTTTATTGGCTGGAAATGAAATCGCAAAAAAATCAAGTAAGTGGATCTTGATTGTGGTTGTCTTCTTCCAATACATAATATCTACTAATTCATGTTTGCGATCATATTTTCCATTGTTTCAAGTGTTCACCAATCACTCGCTACATATCATGTTGTGATGTTTATTGTGTAGTTCACAGCCAAGACAGTTTCTTTGTTCGAATCCCCAATCTGCTCCAAATCTGCTTTAGATACTGATATATTGAATAGCTCATACGCCTTGTGGTATCATCACATCTTGAAAGCTTCTGATTGGTTAATGTGGCTTCCTTTCAATCTCAAATATTATGAAGCGTCTGCCAAACTTATCATTTTTCGAATTTCCGTCTTTAGCTCAAATTAAAGTTTGAGTGTACACTCTTCTAAGTCTTAGGAATATCTGCTTATCTTGTTGAATATGATATTTTGAAAAGTAGGTACTAGAATCCTTTACATAATCGAGTACCAAGCTACTAAAGTACTAATAATATTTTCCAAACACAATACGATTTTTTGTGGAAATCATATTATGAAAGTAGCATTTTTGTTTCAATAAATCCATTAGGTACCTTACCTGTACCATTGGTAATAAGCCTTGTTCGGGTTTGAAAAAAGGACAGTTCTAGAAAGATTCCAAACAATCACAGTTTTTTATTGAAAATTGTGATAGCCGAGCCGTTGTCATTTTGTTGATTGATAAACTGTGCGATTGTCTTGAATCGTTCTAGAACAGTCTTTTTCTCAAACCCGAATTAAGCTATAATTCGTATGAATTAAAAATAATCTTTTTCAGGTCCAAGAACACGACCATTGAATCTGCTTCCTCTACCAGACAAGCTTGAACGTCTAGCATTGCCATCTACTTCACGCGGTTATAGAAGAAGAAATAAAGCGAGAAAACCACCAGTAAGCTATTTATTTTTAAGAAAATTTACCGATATTTTACAATTGTGTTTTTTTATAGAAGAACTATCCAGAAGACCAACCATCTGTAACCCTTGACGAAAGCATACTCTCCTTATTGTTAAAGCTACATTCGAAACTTTCTGGAATTCCTGACAGTTTTGATCCAGACGATGAAGAAATTGATTATTTTGTTGGCGGCGATGATACGGTAAGCTTTCCCAATTAAATAATATAATAGGTAGTAAGTTGACCACTGTTATAGGTTCCTTGTGGAGATGGTCCATTCTATGTGGGAAAACTGCTCAAAAAAATCGCCATCTCAGATTCTGGATGTCACAGTTACATACAGGAGAGCAGGCGTCAATTGTGGCCTTCGGCCGAGGAGAATGAAAAAGCAAAGAGAATGCGCGAAAATAAGGAAAGAGAAGACCGGAGACGTAGGGCGAAAGATAGACAGGATAAGTTGATGGCGGAATTTGCAAAAAAGCAAAACGACTTTTGGAAACGCGAAAAGGAACGGATGGAAACTGATGAAAATTCTGATAGTAGTATGGATGAAAGTGAGATACCGATTAGTAAAGAGGAATACGATTGTGTTATTTGTAATACTAGGTAGGTTTTGTTTTTTTGTGCTTGAAGCATATTAGCTAGAATAATGGTTTTAACTTAGTGGTTCAGTTGAAATAAAAGTCTCTCTCTCCCTAGTTCTCCTAGTACGGAAGACAAACCAATGGGTCTGGTGGTTTTGATACAAGCTACTAGTGTTATAGGTCATAGGCGAAGATATGGACAGCCAGAAAGATCGACTTTGCCCACTTGTGATGATGAACGGGAACAGTGTAGGAAAGATGACACTTTGTCAGCAGAATTCGATAGAAGAGTTGAGGAGTTGGATAGGCATTTTGCTCCTGTAAGTAGAATTCATCATTTCCTAAGATTCCTTACCTAAAAAAAAAAAAAAAATCTTAGATAACGCACTCGAAAAAGACTTTATGAACGGACTATAGAGAGTTTATATAAAATACTTTTATTGAGAATATCTTGAATGCACAAATGCTAAGTGACAGTAAACATCAGCATTAAATGGAGTTCCAATAACATCCAATCCTTTTTTGTTGCTAATTATTCTTTAATTTTCAGACATCTTGGTTCCTATCAGTGAACACTGGCTGGGACGGTGGCGTACATGTACAAACCTGCGGTCATCATCTACATTTAGATTGCTTAAATTCGTACTTGACATCGTTGCGGTCGCAACAGAGACAACAAACTTTGTCTCCAGAAAAGTATGGAATTTTCGTTCATTAAATATTGTTTAATTATAAATAAAATTATTGTTTCAGGGGCGAATACTTGTGCCCCCTTTGTAGGCAATTAGCGAATTCCGTGTTACCTTTATCGCCACAATACGGCGATAAATCCCAAATGGTTCGAGCGAAGCCTAACGATTCCATGTTACATATTTTGGAGGAAATTAGCGACTTTTTAAATGACAACGATCAGAAACCAGTAAGTAGTGTGGCTTCATGAAATTATTCAATTATAGAAGAGTGCAAATCAAATATGCTAATAATGCACTTCTTTTATTAGAGTTCGTCTAGTATGGCAGAAGCCATAGGTAAAGTGATGGAAGATATGACGAATAGTACGCAATTGAAAGCGTTATTTAGGCCAAAAAGCGAAAAACCGATACCTCAAAGTTTGATCCTGTTTGTTAACTCGATAGCACGAACCAATTTGGAAGTGGAGCTCGTGCAACGGGGCGGGTCTTTGGTTTCTCCTACCAGCGATGCGCCCAATCCTTTACTGCCAAAAAGAGATTGTATAGGTGAGTGAGTTAATAAAAACAAAACTTTTTTTCAGTTTTTGATTATTTATATAGCTTTTATTTACGATTGGAGATCTTCTTGTAACTTTGAATCTGTGAAATGATTATCATCAAGAAAAACATGCTTTCATTACGAAGTTTACATTTTGAACCCCCAAACGTAACAAACTGGCGTATCCAGCCTTCGATTCTGGATAAAAGAGGAAGGGCAAAGTGCATGTTCAAAGTGGCTGAATCACTTTTTTTATCGTTATTTGTTGAAATTTGAGTACGATAGCGATCTAAGAAATCGGTGCTACTGAAATTTTGGAGTTCCACGGTTTTAATTCTGTAAGGTTTTGTCCATTATATTGTTATACAGGGTGTCCCACGGTGGATGGCATATTAGATGTATATGGAGAACTAAAAAGCGGATCTTTTTGAAAATTTGGCAACCGGGATAAACGACCATGATCTACACTTTAAAAATATTTTTGTCGCTTCTACTCTTAACCAGTGGCAACATCGCTATTTTAAATGGAATACCCTGTATGTGATTGCATATTTGGATTCTACATAAAATTCTGAGCTGATTTCATGTGATAAACCCTATACCTAGGTTCAACTGTTTTGGAAATATTGACAGTTGAAAATTGACTTTTTGCAACTTTACAGGCTGTAAAACCTGAACGGTTAATTTTAGAGAAAAACCGATTTTACATTCCTATCTTAGATTTTCATGAACTATCATTTGACACCAACTTTGAATTTAACCGGAGATTAAATTTAATTGGATTTTTTAATCATGGATTAAATTTAAAGTTGGTGTCAAATAATAGTTCATGAAAATCTAAGACAGGAATGTAAAATCGTTTTTTCTCTAAAATTAACCGTTCAGGTTTTACAGCCTGTCAAAGTTGCAAAAAAGCAATTTTCAACTGTCAATATTTCCAAAACAGTTGAACCTAGGTATAGGGTATATCACATGAAATCTGCTCAGAATTTTACGTAGAATCCAAATATGCAATCACATACAGGGTGTTCTATTTAAAATAGCGATGTTGCCACTGGTTTAGAGTAAAAGCGACAACACCGCATAAACAAAAATATTTTTAAAATGTAGATCATGGTCGTTTATCCCGGTTGCCAAATTTTCAAAAAGATCCGCTTTTTAGTTCTCCATAAACGTCTAATACGCCATCCACCGTGGGACACCCCTGTATATGGAAACGGCCTAATATTTCAGACCGTACTTAAGAAAAATGTATGTACAGGGTGCTGCAATTTGGAGTGTTTTAAGGACACAGTAATAACTGCCATGTTTAAATTTAGTTTTTGAAAATAATAGAGAGTTATTGGAACTATTAAATACTGCCTCGCAGTATTAAGGATCTACGTTATTTTATTAGTGCATCAGCACTATTTTTCCAAGAAAAAACAGTTATTGGAAGAGTCTAGTAGGTGCTAGAGTATTACCTTATTTTGTATTCGTAATTTTGACAGCTGATAGTTATGTTTATAAATTTCAGCCTCAAAAAGTGTTTATTTTTGTTTGTGATTTTCTGCTGATACCCATTTTTTGATGTTACCCACAGTAAAATGGAAAACTATTGTAAAAAATAAATTTTCTAAGTAAAATTACGTCATCGTCGAAAAGCGAAATGTCAAAGTCGTCCAAAATGTCAGAAATTTGAAATAAGGGAAGTTTACTGCCTCGCACTAACCATGCAGAAATAAAGACAAGCAGTAACCTTATTAAGGGAATCCTTAATTTCGGAGCCAAATGCGCATGCGTAGATGTCAAAATAAGGCTAATTTGAATACTGCTTGTCCTTATTGCACGTCCAATAACTCTCTATTGACTGCGTCACTCTACACATATGGTTCTAGTTATTTATACACCAAGTGAGTTAAATGAATGTTTAATCATGAGAAGAAAGTTTAACCCACGAGCCCTAGCGAGTGGGTTAATTTTCTTCGAATGAAAAAACATTTTAACTCACGTGATGTATACAAAATTTTATCCCATTTTGATGGACATTCAAAAAATTTAGTACCTACTTATTAGGAAGCAGATTATAAAAAGAATTCATTCAGCGAGCGCTAATGTCTAATACCTATTGAAACTGGTAGTTGCTAGGGTATACCTAGTTGTTTGTATTTGTAGCAGACTTTTGTACTGGCCGAGTGACTTAAAAGACCGAGAGTGGGTTAATAGTTATTTATGGTACTAGTGATTTTTCCCGTTTGATTTTTGTTCAAGTATACTATTGATGTGTGTATTAAGTTTGTTTTAATCCCCATTTGTCTGAAAATATATAGTGCACTGTTTGTCTGGGGCGGTTGCTGAATTATTGTTAAATATACAAAAGCTAACCTCAAAATGTCTGGTACTTGCTTTAAATGTTCACAAATCTGTATTTTCAAGGAACCAAAGAATTGCGGCGAGGTATTTGGATACCCGTGTGACTATTTTAGGAGAGTCATGTGTAGAAACTGTTCTGGGGTGAACTCGACTGAAGTTCGCACATTGATATTGTCGTCGAGAATCATACCCTATATCTGTAAAGACTGTCTACCAGCAATAAAAAATGCATTGAAGCTAACTGATCGTGTTGGTGCCCTAGAGGATGCTCTAAGTGAAATTAAGGTGACTAACACACAAAAGCTGGAAGATTTTGAAAGGCAAATTTATTTATTTATTTTATTTATTTATTTATTTATTTACGGGCAAGACCCATTAAAAAAAAAAAAAAAACAACAAGAAACATTAAGTACCTTACAACTAAATAAACATAGGCCAGTAATACTTGGCGTAGTGACAGGATAAAAATACATATAAATTATTAACAGTAAAACATTAAATCAGTTATAGGTATAAGAAAATAGAGGACAAACATAAATAATGACTGATCAAGATGACTAGAAATTCTTAGCTATCGAACTTGGCATCACAAACAAACAAGGAGAATTACATTAGAGAGTTAAGCTCTCTTTTAAAGCTATTTATGGGTCCAAAAAAATCCAGGCTACCATGGGTGTTACCTAATCGAGAAGTTCTGGAGATGAATGTATTGAAACCATAGTTTGTACGGTGATTTCTTTCTGAGAAGGTTATGGCAGAGCGGGTGTCCCTTGCTGGGACGTGAAGCCCTATTCTGGACAGTAGGTATGCGGAATCACTAATGGAGTTCAGTACCTTGTAAAAAGTATATAAATCTCTTTGATTGCGTCTAGCTGCCAAGGGTTGTAGATTGAAGCGTCTGTATAGGTCGTCATAGTCATACACATAGTTCTCAGGCGAAGGAATACCTGCCTTGAAGGCTAAATAACGTACGAATTTGCGCTGCACTAGCTCTAGGGCTCTGATATGATTAGAATACATTGGTGACCAGACAGAGGAGCAGTACTCCATCAGGGGCCTCACCATTGAGCAATAAAGGTATCTGATAGAATCTATGCTTGTAAAATCTCTCGAACACCTCTTAATGAAGCCTACAAGTTTTAACGACCTTGTTGTGATGTCTGAAATATGGGTGATAAAATTGAGACTGCTGTCAAAAATGACACCAAGATCTCGTTGTTGTGAGACAGTTTCAAGCGGAATGTTGTTTATATGGTACGCGAATTGTGGAGGGCTACGACCCTTGGAGAAAACAATGGCTTTGCATTTGGAAGCATTGAGCTCCATGCCGCTCAAAGCGCACCACTCAGAGAGTCTGTCGAGGTCAGATTGTAGTCTGGCACAGTCTTCAATAGAAGAGACCCGGGTGAACACCTTTAAATCATCCGCAAAGCACAGGAACTCACTGTTAATAAAACAAGACTTGATATCGTTAATAAAAACGTTGAACAGCAGAGGTCCCAAGTGAGAACCCTGTGGAACGCCCGATGGGATGTCAATTTCGTGTGAGAAGAAGTTGTTAACTTTGATTATTTGAGTTCTCTCCCCAAGATAGTCGCTAATCCACTTCAACAAAGTACCGGAGATTCCAGCACTTTCAAGCTTAGCAAGCAGAACGGCATGGTTGACACGGTCAAAGGCCTTTGCAAAATCGGTATATATGGAGTGAACTGATTCGCCATCCTCAAGAATTCTTGAAACTTTGTCCTGGTAGGACAGGAGATTGGTTTCAGTTGAGCATTTTGGACGGAAACCGGTCTGCTGCTCAATTAGACAGGGATTGATTTTTGGAGTTAAAAACTTTGTCACTATGCTCTCAAATACCTTTGGGAAGGTGTTTTGGATGATAATGGGTCTGTATTTTGAAATATCCATTTTATCGCCAGATTTATGAATGGGTATGGTGAAGCTCTGCTTCCAGAGTTTAGGAAATTCACCCAAACTGAGTGACTTGTTGAAAAGAATGAAAAGTGGACGGGATAATACAAAGCTACAATTCTTTATCATAAGAGGTGGGACACCGTCTGGACCTGGACCCTTAAAAGACTGCAGGCTACATAGTTCTTCATAAATAACTGATATTGAGATGTTAAATTCATGAATATGTGCATCGCTCCGAGAGATGTCCTGACTAGCAACACAGATTTTGTTGGAATAAACAGAATGGAAGTATTCAGCAAAGAGATTAGCTATCTCTGAACCATTTTTGGCAATGTTGCTATTATAAAACATGTGAGACGGCAAACCATTCGCTTTTCGCTTGGCATTGATAAAACTCCAGAAGTGTTTGAGGTTGTGATCATTCAGCAGTGACATTTCAGAGCGCTGCACATAATTCAGATAGGAGTCCTTTGAAAGAGTCTTACACCGAGTGCGAAGATTCGAGAAGTTGTCATAGTCACTAGGAGAGTCAGTCCGCTTCCAGGTTCTGTGTGCTTCTTTCTTCTTGATTATGAGTTCCTTTAGGTCGAAGGGGAACCATTTAGGAAATTTATGGGTGGAAAGCTTTTTCTTTGGTACAAAGCAGTCAATAGCAGTGTAAAGAATGTCATAAAAAATACTGACCATTTCTGCTACAGTTGGGCCTTGGAGTAAAGCATCCCAGTTGATCATACTT